CGTAGTGATCCTACGATACCACCACGCCTGACACTCGTACCATGTTCACAGACACCATCTCGAATCTCATTATGTCTACGCTGAACCTCAGCCGCATCTGCCGGTCTAGCACTTCTTAACTTCCTCACAATATTCGTTATCAGATCGTAAATATTGTTCAAATCATGAGTGATCGAATTTTCAGGATTTGCACTTGCGCAATTACTTGCCACTGCCTTACGTTTTGCTGCACCATCTCCTGATTTCTCTTCGACTCGCCCAACCTCTACGCAATTACCAGCCTTCGCTTTACGCACAAATGAGTTTCCTCGAATTGGTCAGCATTTGGGGAATTTCCGGCCACTGTCTTCCACGCCGCTGCACCTTCACACGGATCTGCTCCGTCTCGTACCACACTAGCGCAATTACCGGCCACTGCCTTGCGCTCGAGTGCATCCTCGCGTCCACTGGACTTTCTCGTCTTCTCCTTAAAAACGGCACAATCTTCCGTAACGATAAGGTCAACGTGTTTGAGAACATTGTTGCCTATCACTAGAGGGTAGATAAAATCCCGCTTCCTTGCCACATGAAACGTGATGTCGAGCGAAATTCCGTTGATATGCATTGGGATGGTAAAGCTGCCCGTTGTTGTCATTGCACTGTTGCCGATGCCCACCAGTCGCCGCTTCTGTTTGCTGAGCTCTCTGTTTGTTGGAGTTCTCTCGGTCTTTACTTTATTTCCAGGGCTCCTGCACTCACTCGCTCGATGACCCTCGTTGCCGCATTGAAAACATCTGATCTTCTTGCGTGGACACTTTCGAGCAAAGTGAGACTGATCACCACAGAAGAAACACCCTTTGCTTGATGACTGTGAATTTTGTAAATTCCTGTTGAAAGGCGTTGGCTTTACATACATAATTCCCACTCGTGGTCTGTGGTTTGCTATACCGGCTCTTCTCGTACACCTTGATCTGTTGCATCAGCTCCTTGATATTTCGCTCCTGATACAAGTTGCTCTTATTCGCGAGATTATCTAAAATCCCCTCGATCAAATACTCGGTCAAGCTGGAATCATCGAGACTGACTGATTTGCTGATCTCCATCATTGCGTAAAGGTATTCCCGCAGATTTTCTCCTGGTCGCTGGTGGCGCCTTCGAAGGCTGCGGTGTATTTCGGCCCACGACATAGTGACGCCAAACTAGCGGATTTTAAACTGCTAACTCCAATTTGGCTTCTAACAAAAAGTTTTGCTCCACCCTTCAGCACTGCACAGCCATTGCGTTGGCCTCAAAATCCTCCAACCACTGATCGAATGTCGCCTGACCAGACCCGCTAAATTTGCCCAATGAGTCCTCAATGTCCCGAAGAGTGAATGCTGAACGCTCAGCCACGGACCCACGTACGCTTCGCCTACTTGCAGCGTCATCGAAATCGGTATCATCGCCGTCGCTCACATTCAGGCCGAAGTGTTCCAGTAGCCTGTCCTGCAACGTCGCTTTCCGTCCGTTAGTCGACACACCTAAACCGCCCAACATTTCCCTAAGACCGTCAACCGTCAAGCTAAAAATTCCATCACGATCCATGTTTTACTGTATTATCAATTAAAATTTCTATTGCTAAAATCGATTTGGTAAAATTTTTAAAATGTTTGGTATTTAACATAGTTACATTTAATACTGATACACAAAATATTCGAGTTATTTGTTTCATTTAATTATCCAATAATCATTTGTTCAATTGTTTATATTATTGTGTACGTGACTGTCCCGCAATATCCTCGCATATGTAAATCTGTACACAATGAAAAAATTGCAATTGCAAACACAAAACTACCGCCAGTGGCGCGAACAAAATAGCGCCAACTCTAACGGCGTATTACCAGCCAATTCGTGCATATATTGCTTTTACTACCTTAACATGGAAATACGTACGTAAGTATGTATACGCTAAAACTACTTAGCTGCACTGCGCTATTTCATCCCTCGCCGCTGTCTTAAATTTTGCGACTTCGCTGTCGTATGCTGCTGCCTTGCCCACAATGCTGCTACTTCTGGCGACACTATTCGCTGCTGTTGTTGGCGCTTCTTGCTTAGCGCTGATGGTGCTGACTGGCCGCTGCTTTGCTAAGCGACGCAACCACTGCTGCTTGGTGTATTTGCCGTTTTATGCACTTGTTTATTTGTCGCATTTTTTTATTTTACCGCTTGCCGGCGATATTTGTCAAAAATAGCGGATTGTGTGGCGTGGCTAGCTCAAAGTACAGCAGTACAGTTACTTGCGTTTTTGTCAATTTAATTTCACAAAATAGTTTACTAAAACGGATTGGGCGATTTGATGATCGTATGTAATTTTTAAATCACTGCAGTAAATGAAACTTTGGCTAGCATATCACACGGCACACACAAAACACATATGTGTAACACGTACAAACGCTTATTTGCATAGTTGTACGCACAGTTTATTTTAATGTTTTGCAAACTCACAGGAGTGGATTTTATGCCACTTCAAGACACCACTTATAGAAATGGCCTTTGCAATCCTTTTAGTCTTTACTTAAAACACGCTTTAATGTTAATTATTATTTTTTTGGACTTTGAGTTGATTGGCGGTTGCCCAAACGCCAGGGTATCCCTCTTCTTTATAGTTATACAGCAGAATGTTACACGAAAGTGTAAGTTGAAAAAGCGTAGTGTGCAGAGTGGCACATAATGAGCATGTGCAAATACTCCATTAAATTGAACGGCTTATTAACAGCGGTGTAGATAAATTTAGCGCAATGAAGGCCTGTTCCTTGATTAAGCCAGAAAGTTCTTAAATTTCCATGCGATGGAGATGATTGTATAAGTCAAGTTAACAGTGCAGCTTCGAGGAGGTTGCAGGAACCTAACATCGGATGTAACGAGTTGGCGGGCTTATATGATGCGTATTTTATTTGTGGGCAATTTATGGTGGTGATGAGAATTGAATGTGGGGAATGGGATAGGGGAGGAAATGAGTGAGGTGGATGGTATTAACACCTGTGATAAGACGATTTTGGATTTAAAGCTTATAAA